GAGTGGCAGCAGATTGGTGTCTTTATCAAGGCCCTGAACTCAGCCATCTGCTGCCTGGCCTTTCTTAGAGAAAGAGGCTACAGAAACCCCTAGATGACCTTGAGGAAGCTCAGGAATAGTCACTATTTTCCCTCGGGTCTTTGGGGGTTTCTGTTTCAACTCTGTGAAAAGGGGTTATTTGCAGGTATTTGGGCAGCAAATGTTGACAAGGTTCCCTTCCACACCTCACCTCCTCACGCACACTTTCTGCGTGAGACCCTCCACCAGGTGTTTGGTCCGCCGGCAGGTACTCACCATGTGAGGATGCAGTGCCAAGCCCAGAGATACCCTGGTGTGCAAGCCTGACAAAATGTCAGCCGTCATGAAGTTTTGTGGGTGTGAGAGAAGCATCAGTAAGCAATCAACCCCAACAGTACTATGATTCTGGAAGGCCAAGCTCATTTACGTGTCCCTGCTCTAGTTTAGGGATTGAGTCGTGACAAGGAAGGCGTCTCCAAAGAAGTGCTTCTCCAAGAGATAACCTCATGAATGTGTGGGTGTCAGCCAGGCAGAGAGAAGGCAACGCAGTTCAAAGGCCCAGCTTGTCTGCCGGCCATGGATTTCTAAATCAGTCAATTTTCCCCCTTGGGGAATAGCTGGTGCAAAGTTGAGTGCTGAAAAGGTGTTGATTAAGGAAGTGATTTAGTTAGGCTACTTGGTTACAAGGAAAAGCAGCCCACTTAAATTATCTCAAAAACATTGAATGTCAAGAGCTTCTTTCATCCGTACACATGGGAAGTGAACTCAGGTCAAGTGAATGAACCATTCTCAGAATGGATGGGAGCTCAAGCTGGCCCCCAGGAAGAGGCAGCCTTGGGGGCATCACTCCAGCACGTGGCTGTCGGCTGGACTCCTCTCCTCTGCATATTTGCACTGCCTTTCTCTTACCTGCTTACTGATGGCTGGTCAAGTCTTCTCCATGCTGCTGCTTTATATTTTGTGTCCCCTACCCATTCAGATCTTGTTCATGGGAAAGTCCTGCAAATGTTTAATGTCAAGTAGGAATCACCAGGAAATCAAAATACAGAGTGGGAAAAATAAGGGGTTTTGAGACTGAATCCTGCCAGTCACTAAGACTCGGTGTTTTTGGCAAAAAAAAAAAAAAAAGATAAAGAAAAATTTATAAATGCCAAACTCAAAAGGCCATTTAGAAACACTAAACTTACAAGTCATCGTAAGGGTCAAATAAAGTAATATGGGAGGATTTTGTAAACCAGAGATGTATTATTATTACTATTATTATTATTGTATCATTATTACATATATTGACAAAACCATAGGACAGAGTTATTCAGGGTTCAGAATGGGTATTTCAAAAATTAGTTCCAGGAAGCATTCAAACCAATGAGAGATCACGTTGAATGTCTGTTACTTCCTAGCTCTTAGTAGCCATGCTAGTGAGACTTTAACCTCTAACTTATTTGTGCCTTCGTCCTCTTCTTCTATAAAAGGAAAAATTACTAATAGTAGCTATCCCTGGTTGCTATCAAGGAACAAACAAACCAGCATACTGAGGACCCAGGAACAATTTGTGACATGTGCTTACAGCTCGCTGCTATTATTGCTGTTATTATTATCACTGCTACTAACAAGGCAGATTCCTATAGCGGTTCAGTCAGGCAGAGTGAGCTTGACAGGCCTGGGGAACAACTGGCTCACAGGAGGCCTCACACTGAGGACAGGTAGAATCAGAAGGTGAGGACCATTCAGGTGGATGAGTCTGCCTTTTTGGGTGATGCATGGGGGTCCTAAAGCTGGGTGTGGACCCTGAAGGGTACCCTGAAAAGAAAGGAAAGAAGGAGAAGAGTATATCTTTTATATCTTCACTTAGATTTCTCTTCTGGCAGATTCGAGGGCAGGTAGGGAGAGAATTCCAGTCCGTGTCTCTGTTGAAGGAGAGAGAAATGTACATATTTAACTTGTATTGACCCTCTGGTCCAAAGACAACTTGATTTTGTGTCAGTCAGGACTTCTCCTTCACACTGTGCCCTTATTCCAAGGAAGATTAATGTTGGAATTCCTTAGCCTGGTATTTAACATTTTCCACAGTCTGATCCACTGTCCTACTTTTCAACCTCTGAGACCTTGGCTGGAAATTTACCAAATGAATCAGAATGCACACTGACAGTTGTATTAATGAAACAAATAAATTTTTACATTTTCATTAGTTAAGTATCAATATATAACACACTTCCCCCATATTTAGCAGCTTAGCACAAGGATGTCACAGTGTCTGAGGTGTGGCTGAGCCGGATCCTCTGGTTCAAGGTCTCTCACAAGGCTGCAAAGTGTTGGCCGGGTCATGACAAGGCTTATCTAAGGCTTATCTAAGGAAGGGTGGTTTCGAAGCACGCACACGTGGTTGTTGGCAGGATGCAATTCCTCCTGGGTTGTCAGACTGAAAGCCTCATTTCCTCATTGGCCTCTGGCTGGTGGCTGCCCTGAGTTCCCTTGCCTCATGGTCTTCTCCACAGAGCAGCCCACAGTATGGTGGTTGGTTTATCAGACTGAACAAATGAGTCAGAAGGAGCAAGACAGAAGTCATGGGCTTTTGTAACTTAGTCTCAGAAGTGACATTCCTTCACTTCTGCTATACTCCTACTCACCAGAGGCAAGTCGCTGGCTCCAGCCCACACTCAAGGGGTTACACAAGGGCGTGACCACCAGGAAGTGGGGATCAATCATTTGAGAAACATTTTAGAAGCTGCCTACCTCACTTAGAAGGTAATACATCAGTTAAGTAAAGGTATCTCCTATAACAACAGATAAATGCTGAACTGTCAAAGACTTAACAGAAGGTTCTTTTTCACTCATAAAGTCTGAGAGGGTGAGTGAGGAGAGTGGTGTGCTCTACAGAATTATTCGAGTATCCATGCTGAAGGAGACATTGTCAGCTTCAAAAAGGGGCTTACCAGAGTTGGCAGCATTCCAGAAGAAGACAGGAGAAACAGAGTGACTATGGAGAGTCACACTGAAGGTTTTTATGGGCATGTGTTTTGCATCAGCTCAATCTCCTTTGGCCAGAACTCAGTCACATGACTCTACCGGGCCTAGGAAACGCGGTTCCTGGCTGGGCAGCTACCTCCCTGCACTGTGCTGTGGAAGAGGAGCACAGGTGTTTGGTGGAGAGCCAGCCAGGTCTGCCGTGGATACTTTGACATCTACAAAATACTCTCACATGGATTAGTTCACTTGCTTCTTACCACAAGCAATGCTGTCAGCATTATTACCCTAGTTTTAGACAGAGAAACAGAGCAGCATATCTTGAGGACATACAGTTACATAATAAGAACAGAGTTCATGTCCCATTTCTTCCACTTACAGGCTGTATGACTATGGAAAGGTGATTTGACTTCTCTGGACCTTAGTTATCTCATCTGTGAAATGGGACAGTAAGCCCTAGGCATAGTTATTATAAAGATGTCATATGCTGCATATAAATCACTGAACATTATGTCTGGCAAATATAATTGCTTAATGAATATTAGTTACAAAGAAGATGATCATAATATTATGTCTGGAGATAAAGAAGATGAAACTCAAAGGAGTTAAATGATTTATGCAAATCTACACGTCTAATACAGGGCAGAGCCAGGATGGGAGGCTGGGGAATTTAGGTAACAACTTCGCTACTTTTTGAGTCAGTTGCTTTCCAAAGAGGCCATTCATCAGATTGCTATGTTAATCAGCAGCAAGCCAGCCCTGAGCCCAAGACACAGTGCCAAGTGTCCCCTTCAATACTGCTTTGCTGGACCCAGGGTCCCAGGAAATCAACGCTCCATCACCTTTTCAGTACAGCTGATCCTTTTCCTCTCAGCCTCTGCCTCTTTGTACAAAACATCCTGACTGTATGTCTCCCTTTTACTTGCACTCTTAGGTCCTACCAGGCCTTTATTTCAAAGTCTGTGTTTATAAATAAGCTCTGTCTTGCCAACTAGGTAAAAGCACAGGAAATGATGTAAGATGAGCTATTTCATTAGACTCCTAAATGTACCACATTTCTCCAAAAGCTTGTTCATTCTGAAATAACAGAAAAGTGGCTTGTATATCTTTGGGTTGGGTGGCCTGGCCAATAAATGCCGCAGCATCACCAGAATGACCAAGAGACGTCATCAGAGGCTGCAAACTCATTTTCATTTCTGCCCCCCTTGTTATCTGGAGTGAGGAAAAGCAGGAATGGACAGGCTGAATACTGTCATCGTCTTCAAGCAGGGGATTCCTGGCCACAGGCGGGCAGGTGCTCTGAGCTTCAGATCTCAGATTAGGTTTCAAGAGGTCTTTAAGACAAATGTTCTGGTAATGGCCAAAACCACATTAAATCTATGGATTAGCAGCAGGAATTTCACCTTTTTTAGTAAAAAAGACCCATTAGTTTCCTGCAAGTCTTACCTCTCATTCTCTTTTCTAGCTGGACCACCACCTGACATAGACTTTGTCATATAATCTTTCCCATTAACAAAGTTGATTAAAACCTATATTTGATTCATTTCCTAATGAAACCATGCATCCTCATGTGTTGCTTCCAGTATTCCATACCGTCCTAACCCCCTGATTTACCATTTTCTTGCTCATTTTTTACAGAAAGCTTTTTCTTTAGATTCCATATTCAGACTATTCAATCAAGGGATAAAGTCCACTTGAGATTTTCTTCTTTCAAACTATCTGAATACTTTGTTCAAAGTCTTGGAAGAGGCTCATTTTCATTTTTGTATATGTATGCCGGAGAATATAAAGGCAGCATCTTTATAACACCAGACAGTTGAGGTGAAAACAGGAAAAAAACAATTTGTCATCTGGATATGTCTAAATAGCCAGATCTGGATCATGAAAAGCTGCAACTGAGTTGTAATTAAATTACGTTCTCAAGACATGGGCATCCTGTGATTTCAGGTTGTCCGAAACTTCCCAGGGCATCACCTCCAGTTTCATTTCAGTGACTGTCCGTCATCCCCCCCTTCTAGGAACCAATGTCCACGAGGCCCAGAACATTCTCAGTAACAGCGGACTCCCTATTACTTCAGCGGTTGACCTGGAAGATGCGGCCAAGAAGGCTGTGGCCAGCGTGGCTAAGAAGTGATGGCTTTGCCTTGACCCCTTGGAGGAAGAAGTCCATTTTCCCATAAAAAAAGAATGGTTCTCTCATCACTATGAAGGAAATGGTTATCCCATTGGGAAGAAACAGGGAGAGGGGATGAGCAAGAATCCCAATGAAGAATCTTGAATCTGTATATTCTTGAATAAGATATCTAGGTAGCCAAATAATCTGATTTCACTTATGTCTTCACTATATTAATGTTGTATGTTCTCATACTTTTTTCTCACGATAATCCTGCTCAGTAGGCTTTGTTTTGCCGACTTTGCAGAGCAGTCTGTGTGGCCAAAGAGTGTGCATATATATAGAATTTGAGATCAGGCCATGGTTCATTACAACAGTTTTGGTGGACATTTAGCCCTGTATAAAATTTTTTTTTAAATCCACAGGCTGTGTAAATTCATTTAACAGATTAACTGTCAAAAAGGTGCCTCTCAGTCAATCAAGAAAATAGGTGTCACACACTGTAACAGTCTTAACTAGCTTCTAATTCCAACATTTGTTTGGAAATCCGTGAATGTTCTGAAATGTATTTTACAATGAAAGATGCCTTAATATTGAATATACTGTTTACCTCACACTGAAAATAAAGTCAGAGATCTTGTAATCTTGGAGTCAAAGGTGTTCTCTCTTAATGTTAAAACTGAAGAAGGCTGATTCTTAGAGAAATCTCTGTGATTATGTCATTTCGAGGTGAGGAACACTAAAGATCAAATTATGTTGTGAGTGTAAGTCTTAGCCCCCACCCCACCCATCACCTCAGAATCTGCCAGCTGGGAAAATGTAATTGAGAGGATGTGGCTTTTTCTCATAATGTCCATTTTTGTGGTTGGAAAGAATTTGTATTAGATTTTTTAAATCTCGGTAAATTTTTATCTGTACACAAATTTAAATAAAACTCTGTTTTGTAAGCTCTAAGATGCGTGTATTTTTCATTATAGTCAATGTTGTTCCTCAAACAACTTTTTGTTCACTAAGACACTAGCCTGTCTAGGCATATCTACAAAACTGGAAAATGTGGGTTGTCTTAGGATTATTTTGGTTCCATTCAACTTTATCAACAGCCATTTCTGTTAGGTGATCATTCTTTGAAAGAATAAAAACTATATACAAACCAGAAGCCCAGGTAAGTGTTACAGATGTCTAACAAGTTAAAATGTGACTTCAGTCAGCATAATGTTAAAGGAAATACATAGATGTAAACTCCTAACATTTAATGAGGCTAAGTTGCCAGCATTAAGTATTTCCCCTCAATATACAAATGTGAAGCCAACCAAATTTTTTTGTTTGTTATTAATTGACATTGTTCTCATAAATTTCACGTATGAACAAAAGTTCAAAAGTCATTATTTTATTGATTCGCATTTGCCATGAAGAAAGAAACCATTTCATAGATCAGTCTTATGTCCTTTCTTAATTGTTATGCAATGAATGAAAAATATTAACCAAGTCTTTTTAGGTGTGTTTTGGTTTTTGATCACTTAATAACTAGTTAGTATGGTAAAAGAAATAATGTATATTTATCATTAGACAAAAAGTCAGCAAATTTGAAATGCTTTGCCTTTTGTAAAGGCCTGTGTTCACATTTCTATATATGTTAATTTTTCTAATCACTCCAGTTTGGAGGAGGTGATAAAGGAATTAAATCATTCATCTGATTATGTTGTAAATAGGTTAATAACAAATAGCCCTTTATTTTCAAATAAGTGGTTGTCAGAATTAAGCCTATTTTTCTTGGAGGCTCCATTTGTCTGAGTTTATGTTATTTACATTATATCCCTAGTGCTGAGTACAGCATAGTTTCCCTAAATATTTGTAAAATTAATTACTGGTGTGTGTGTGTGTGTGTGTGTGTGTGTGTGTGTGTGTGTGTGTGTGTAGACACCTGGCTATGACTGATAGCACAGGGTAGAATCAGGGGTGGTTGGCGATGGTAATAAGTGGGTCTGAAATACTCCACCTGCAGCACATCTTATATTCTGACTTCCCAGCATGCCCTTTGTCTCAGCTGTACTATATGTATGAAAAGTAATTTCCTTTAAATCTCATTAATGTTCTTTAAAATTGGCCCTATTCTAAGCAAGAATATCCATGGAAGGCAGGGACAATCTAAACATGGGACCTGGTATCCAGGAAGCTGACAGAGAAGTATACACTTTTTATCTGAACTGCTTTGCACATAAGATTTTAATGGACTTGCTAGCCTACTATGTCAGTCTCCTAGAATAAGCCTCAGTATAGAGGAGACTGAAGTCCTGACTCTCCCACTTACCAACATTCACTCTTTGAGTTGACTAACCTGTTATTAATTGTCCGGGCTCTTATCATGACTTGTAGTAAGAGCTGAAGTGGGCAGAACTGTTTTGCTCTTGTGATTAAAAAAGACAGGGGTCCTCGTTGCAGTTTAGGCTATATCCTGAGACTCAAAGCCACTGGACTTGGGCTCTGCATCTCAGACCAGCTTGTCTCTGTGCTGATTTTACTTTCAGGCAGGCTGTTTCCACAAGGTGGCAAAATGGCTGCTGGCCATCCCATTTAAACATTCTCAAGCTTAGCATCTCTGAAAGAGTAGGAGAGAGGGAGGGAATGGGAAAGAGAAACTACAAAGAAGAGAGACAGAAGAGGAAGTAAAAAGTAGGAAGGAAGCTTCTCTCTCTTGGTAATTCTAAGAAACTTCCCCAGTTGAGATGACTAACTTCCTGGAACCTCTACCTGAGCCAGTCCTTCTGGCCAGGAGTTTACAGAGCTCTCATGAGTAAGACTGGGTTAAATGCCCACTTATTGGCTCGAGGACAAGAGCTGCCTCACCCAAACTACTGGAGCTGAGAGTAAGGAGCATGGGGAGGAGCTCTATGAGCAAAATTGGAAATCTAGTAAGAAGTAGTGTATTCTGATAATTATACTTATCAGCCATAAAGCAATGAGTATGTACAAATTATTCTGTAAGGATGGACACTAAAATTTCATGGTTATATTCAATTAATTTCTTCCCAGTTGTTTGGAATCCATTTTTTACCTATGCATATAGTTTCCACGTTTTTGTATATATGCTAGTTCAGTCATCTAAATATTTAACTTCCATTTATTTTTCTTGAACAGTAATATCTGTGTAAGAAATAATGGCATTGAGACACTTAGTTCAATTTTGGTTTTCTATTTAAGTTGTAATTCAGTTCATGAATTAGTAAAATAATGAAGAAACTTTAAGTGACCCAAGTAGATCTTTAAATCATTTTTAATTAGTTCTTTTACAATTTATATGCTGTGTCCATCCCTCTCAATTTGCTTCCTGAAGGAGAAAAAAATAATCCTAAAGAATTACACTATTTTTTATTCAAGGTCTTAATAAAAATTAGAGGAAAAATTATGCTTTTTCATTTCTCAATTAAATATTTAAAAATCTGGGATCATTTGCAGGATATTTGTTCAAAAAATAAAAATAAATGAAAAAACATAATAGTAGCATCGTGCCTGAGGGGATTGCCCCAAGGCAAGTTCACTCTGGATTTGGTGAGACTTAATAACAACAAGAGGGTTAGGGGTAGAAGGGCTTATACCAAGCTTTATTCTCACAGTGGCAGGTCCAGTGCTAGAATTGTCTGCCTCTGGGGGCGTTTGCAATCTTTCTCCATCTCTGCCTCTGGGCAGAGCTCTTTATGTAGTAACGCCAACAATAATGGCTCAGTGCCAATGGGTGTGTAAGCAGTAGCCTGCACAGTAGGCCAGTTATATCAGCAAGTAGTTTAGGGTCAGGGGAGGATCCTGGCTATAAGAACTTTCATTTTCCCTACTCTCCACCCCTCCAGGATTCTCCCCTCACCATCTATGCACCCTGAATATTCTGCGATGGTCCCTGTATGAGAAAGCCAGAAATTTAAAACAACAAAAATTGTAATAACACAGAGTGCACACAACACACTCCTTCTGGACTCCGATGACTTTCTCAAAGGCTAAAGGCAGGCCACACTGATGGACCAAAGCCCCATTGTCTTATGCTCCACATACAGCAAGTCATCCTCAGGTCTGAGGAGATCAATTGCTGCCAAGTGGTCATTCTAACTGTATTCAAACCAGTCCTGAATCACAGTTCATACTTTCCATGGGAGGCCAGTAGTGGGACTGATAGAGAGCACCATGCACACCTAGCAAGTAGCAATTTTTGCTAAGGTGTGTGCCCAATCCACAAAGACATTAGAAGAGATTAACTTTAAGAGCGATAAGACACATCATTTAATTATACCAACATAGGCAAATCTTGCCCATCAGGTAGGATGTATGCAAGAGAGTGGTCCTGTGATAGGACTGTGGCAAGAAGGGGATCCCATCTGGGTCTAGTATACCATAATTTTACCCCTCTCCTGTGGGGGTTACTGAGGGATCTATGTATACTGCTTCTGGAAGTGCATGCACTGGCCTTAAGGATAAAACAGAACTCCTCTTAAGATGCTCCTACCTTCTAGCTGTTGAGGGTGCAATATAGTGATCTCTGGGGGACACTCTTCCATTACTCCAAGGGTACATAGGCAGCCAGCCTCCAGGACTTGTCCCCAAGGTAACAGGAGGGCCAGCCATTGCTGCTCCTTGTGTCAAAAATGTCCAAGGCTGTGTCCACTGAATGGAGTCTCTGGGGTTTACTGCAGTCAGTGATGGCAACAAGATTTTATTCTGGTGGCCGAACCTTGGCTTCAACAATTCTTTCTTGGTTTGTACTTGCAGTTTTATAGGTGAGGCAGCAATGTGTGCTAGCTGTTGTCCCAGGTGCTGTGTCACTTGGTGTAAGTCCCTTTTAGAGCAGACAACACACTCTGCTGACATTCTCAAAGGCTAAAGGCAGGCCACACTGATGGACTAAAGCCCAATTGTCTTATGTTCCACATACAACAAGCGATGTAAACCATTGGACCATATCAGAGGCAGGCTTTTCCAAATAACACAAATAACACAAAATTTATTTAGCAATATCATCCTACTTGAAAACTTTAGGTCCAGAAATCTTGTCTCATATTTTGACATGCAAAAGAGGCCTATTGCAATTCTTAGGCTCCTTATGCCAAACTTCACAGATCCAAAATTAATCAGATTTTATGTGCCAACTATGGAAAAATACTCTTTTCTTGTTCCTCCCTTGTGTTTGAAGACACAGTGTGTGGAGGCATTTTTTTTTTTTTTAACTGGGATTGCTTCTAACTCTTTTCCTAGCCAGAAGAGAAAGACATAAAGTTAAGTCATTATGTAGCAGTAACTGTGAGATCTATTCTTGAGATCAAACAGAGCCTGGGACAGACTATAAGATTTGAAGTTTCATATTTGTACTTTGTTTTCAATTATCTTTCAATGTTGAATATTCATGTGCTCCAAATCCTTGTAATTATTCATCCTGAGCAAAAATTTTAAAAAAGGTTTTAAAAACTGTATTAAAAGTGCAAACTGCAAACAAAGATAATCTGGACTTCATTAAAATAAAAAAAATGTTTTGCAGAAAATTTTTTCAGAAAGTGGAGGTAATCCAAATGCCCATCAACTGATGATAAATAAAATGGGGTATATCTGTATAGTAGAATATTAGTCATCCATAAAAAGGAATGATGTATACGAGTGCTACAGTATGGGTGAATCTTGAAAGTATTATACTAAATGAAAGAATCCTGTCACAAAGGCCACATATTGTATGATTCCTATTACAGGAAGTGTCAAGAATAAATAAATGTAGAAAGACAACATGTAGATTAGTAGTTGCCAGGTCTGGAGGGGAGAATGAGAAATAAGTGTTAATGGGTATAGGATTTTCTTTGGGGATGATGAAAATGTTCTGAAGTTAGATGGTGGTGATGTGCATAACCCTTTGAATATACTAAATCTAGTGAACTGTACACTTTTAAAGGGTGAATTTTATAGCATATGTATTATGTTTCAATAAA